CTCGCCAGACAGACAGAGAGAGACATAGAGACAGAAAGCGAGAAATCACCCCCCAGGGGGGATGGTCACGCCGCAATCCCTTCTCCTCCATTCTCCTCTCGGGATCTTGGGCACGCACGCACACGCGCCCGGCGTGAGTTTTAAGCCACCGGGTCCGGGACATGAACCGCGGTCGACTACGTGGGAGTCCAGCGACATAGCCATTACGCTAACTGCTGGTTCCCAGTCTCTGTCTTTCTGATGAGCAAACATACACTATAGCAAAAATCCCTACCACCACCCCAAACAAACAAACAAACCAAAAAGAAATAAAGAAATAAAGAAAAGAAAAGAAAGTAGTATAATGGGCATTAAATAAAGCTTTCTGGGTTAAATGAAGGCTGCGATGTGCCATTTCTTGAAGAGGGCAGCAGTGTTGTCACTGTGTTTGCCAGCAGGCCAATGAGCCATTGGGGCTGGTGTGGAAACTAGAGAAAAACTGCTTTCAAGGACAGGAGCAACAAACGCAGGGCTGTCCAGGGGATTCTGTGACAGTGCATATTGAGGTCTTCTCTACCTCCAATGCTCTTTTCCTGTGTGATTTGAAGAACATCAACTCTTTTTTCAAAAATGCATAATAAATTTAAATCTTAGTCTACCTCTTGCAATAATAGGATCTTTGTCAAGATTCTCTTTTCCCCTCTCTGAATTTTGTTTTTGATGCCATTGAAGGGGGGGTTGGAGTACTTACAGATTTACCGTGAGGTGTAAATGGTATAGCATTTCCTATAGTATCTATACCTACAGGAAAATAGGCGCTCCATACTGTTAGCATGGGGCTGAGTCCTGTGCTACCTTCCCGAGTGGCCTTTCCTGACACCCTGGTAAACTGGCCCTTCCTTTGTTCTGACTCTCTATTGACTTATTATGGTAATTCCATGTTTTTCGTGTGGTGATTATTTTTATTTTTGTTTTATTCTCTGAACATAGTGGCCCATATTTTCTGTGTAGGATGGTTAACATTGTGCCCAGTGCATTACAGAGACGGGACATAGTTTGGGCAAGTTTTAATGAATGAAGGAAAGAGTAGAGAGCATCGTGGTGGTAGAGAGATCATTCAGGAAATGAGGAGTTTAGATCTTCTGCTTTAATACTTGAGAAAATAATGTAGAATAATTAATCACTTTTAACCCCAACTCGCTTCTCTTTATTTTTATTTATTTATTTATTTTTTGGAGAAGTTTTTTGCTATAGGGTGCCGTGCACTCGCCATACAGAGAGACAGAGAGACAGAAAGCGAGAAATCACTCCCCCCCCCCAGGGGCTATGGCCATGCCACAATCCCTTCTCTTCCATTCTCCTCTCGGGATCTTGGGCACGCATGCACACGTGCCTGGTGTGAATTTTAAGCCACTGGGTCCGGGACATGACTCGTGGTCGACTACGTGGGAGTCCAGTGACATAGCCATTACGCTAACTGCTGTTCCCTTGCTTCTCTTTATTCAAGATGTACATCAACTCATGCCGCCACCTTCCTATTGCAGTGGTCACCTAGTGGATACCAAATTCTGCAGTCTTTGCCATCTGAGCCATTTCCCAAAGACTCCATACTGTGCTCTTCATGCCACAAATGCCTTTTGACTCTGTAATTCTTTTCTGTGAACCATCTTGCTTTCTGCATTTTCACACTGCTAGCCTTCATCCTTTCTCTAACTAACTAAATCTTAGCAATCTTTCAAAACCTAGTTCCAATATTTCCATCTCCAATAACTTTTTTTTCTGACCTACCCAACTCTACCTCTCAAAGCCTACTAAATAAATTTTTGGTGTGCCTCACAGTATCTCATTAAAAACCACGTGATTTCCTTTATCTTTTTATCTTATGACGATCTACTTTCCCTTGAGAATTAAAGCTAATTCATGGAAAGGACAATATCTCATATTTCTTTATATTCATTCCTTAACCAGTGCCTGGTATGTAACAGGTACAAAAATGCTTTTTGAACAAATGCCTTCGTATCTGAAATTGGTAGGAATAATGTACCTTACATTCTATTTCAAAAGAGCCATATTTCTCCTAGATTATGCAGAGTGAATTTTTTCATTATTGCTATTGTTTCCTAGGGTGCTGTGGTAAGGGTGTGCAATAGAGTTTACTGACTCTAGATTTAATATTTGCTTGCTAACAGTTCACTAGGGTTGTATTGGTTTTGCCCATCCTCCTGATTAGATGTTAATATTTGCTTTCTTCTAATTCAGAGTTCCTGGTTATACTGGCACCAACTACACCACCTGATTGCAGAACCATCCTAACAGAGTGATAGGAAAATGACTAAAAGCCAGGTGAGTTGTTCACTTTACTCCTGCTTCAGTTTACCATAACTTCTTTGACTAAGGTCAGATCTTCTGCCTGTGAATTGTGTGTATGCCTCTTCTACAGAGAACAATAGCCTACGGAGCTAAGAAAGCACTGGACACAGAGTGAGGGGAATGGTCTAGCTGAGCTTTGTGGAGCAGATCTTTGATTAGAGGGAGGCTGATTAGACTTTTTAACCATTTTATCATCTATAAAAGAGAAATAAGGATTCTCACCTCAAAGTGTGGTTGAATGAATTAACTATTCACATATATAAAACAATATGCACTTTCAGTACCTGCAGATGGCTAATGGTTTTGTCGTTGGACTCCCATGTAGTTGACCACTGTTCCAGTCCCAGATCCTGTGCCTTAAAACTCACACCAGGCATGTGTATGTGCACAACCAAAATTCAGAGAGGAGAGTTGAGGATGCAGCATGCCCCCCCCAAGGGTATGATTTATTTCTTTCTGTCTCTCTGGCAAGCACAGGTGTCTGATAGCAAAAACCTCTCTCTCTCAAAAAAAAAAAAATTGCGCTTTCTTCATCTCTAATATTTTATCAGACAGAAGTTGTTTCTAAGGGGAGTTTTTCCCTTAGTTGCACACCAAAACCTTCTTTTAGACAAAAATATACATTTTTGAGCATATAAAACTGAACACTTTTTCTTGTGGTTTTAATATATTCTAGTCCCTCTTTGTCATTTGCCTGTATGTTTTTAAGAAAATATTCACCCCATCTAATTTGATCCCATAAAGGTATGCATAAATTCATCCCCTAATGCCTCAGAGCCAATGAAGACTCAGAGAATAAAGCATGCTCACATTGTTTGGGATACTTAAGCAATAGATAGTTAGCTAGATGTACCTATCTAGCCAAACCTGAGATTGTGTGGTTCTAAAATACTTCTTCCACTGCTAGAGCAAAATTACAGAAAATAAAAGGCCTGGAAGATGACTGACATAAGCAACATCAAAGTTGTTGCTATACAGCATCTAGAGGAGACAGATAGATGAGGCAGACTTACTTGGTTTAGGAGAACAGAATAAGACAATAAACAGCAATCTCAGATATTGCTCACTCTATAATCACAATAAAAAAGAGGAAGCAAAGGATGTGAGCAGTAATCATAACAACAATAACAAATCTGTGTATGACTAGCTTTCAAATAAACACTACAAGAAACAGAAGAAGAGGAAGAAAAAATTGCTTTTACCTGTACAAGAACCCAATTATGGTTAGGCCTGGGCCTTCATAATCCTTGACTTGCATGGCACCATTTCCATGGAAATAACAGAGTTGAGAGGGATAAGAAGGGTACCAGTCAATCCAGTGGGAAAAGGAGAACTTCTTTAGCAAATGGTGCTGTAAAAACTGAGTATCCACCTGCAGAAAGATGAATCTGAACTCCTATCTCTTACCATTAACAAAAAATCAACTCAAAGTGAATGAAAGATCTAAACCCGAGGCCTCAAACTATAAAACTACTGGTAGAAAACACTGGGGAAACTCCGGGAGACATAAGGGTAGGCAAAGAAATTTGGTATTATCTGTTGAAGATATTTTATAGTTTAATCAACTGGACTAGGAAGAAATGTTCACATATAGAAATATTCACTTTGTAAGCTAAAGAAGGTTATTGAATGTATAAAAAAAAGAAATAAAAAAGTACACTCAAAGCACAGGCAATTATCCCAAAAATAAACAAGTGGGGTTGGATCAGATGAAAAAGTTTCTAAACAACAAAGAACGCAGTAATTAGTGTGAATAAACAACCCTCAGAATGGGAGAATATTTTTCTATACTATGCCCCAGATAAGGGATCAATAACCAGAATACACAGGGAACTCAAGTGGCTTACACAGAAAAAAATGATCAACCCAATTAAAAGATGGGAAAAGGAGTTTAATAAACAACTCTCTGAGGAAGACATACAAATAGCCAAAAAGTATATGAAAAAATGCTTATCATTCCTCATCATAAGGTAAATTCAGATCAAAGCTACAATAAAATATGGGAACCAGCAGTTAGCATAATGGCTATGTCGCTGGACTCCCACGTAGTCGACCGCGGTTCATGTCCCGGACCCGGTGGCTTAAAACTCACGCCGGGCGCGTGTGTGCCCAAGATCCCGAGAGGAGAATGGAGGAGAAGGGATTGCGGCGTGACCATCCCCCCTGGGGGGTGATTTCTCGCTTTCTGTCTCTTGTCTCTCTGTCTGTCTGGCAAGCGCACGCCCCCTACAGTGAAAATCTCTCCAAAAAAAAAAAAAAAACAAAAAAAACTACAGTAAAATACCATCTAATCCCAGTCAGAATGGCAAAGATTTAAAAAACAGAAAATGATTAGTGCTGGTGGGATGTGATGAACGGGGAACTCTCCTATACTGTTGGTAGGAATGTAAATTGGTCCAGCAACTGTGGAGAACATACAAATAGAATTACCATATGATCCACCAATTCCACTCCTGGGTATCTACCCAAAGGCCGCAAGCTTTTGCATAATTGGTAGGAACCCATTCCTGAAGGTAGAGCCCTCATAACCTAAACATCTCTCATTAGGCAACACCTCCCAATACTGTTGTATTAGGGATTGCTTTTCTAATACAAGTTTTTTGTTGCTATTTTTTTTCTTTATTCATGATAGAGCATGTGTATCTGTACATGCAAGAAGAAGAGACACTGTGTGTGTGTGTGTGTGTGTGTGTGTGTGTGTGTGTGTGTGAGAGAGAGAGAGAGAGAGAGAGAGAGAGAGAAGAGCACCCTTCCAATGGTCTGGTTATGCTGTGATCCTGCCTTCTAGTTCTTCAGCTGGTTGGATCTTGGACACTCATGCCCAACCCTGGTATATCTCAAGCAGACCAGGCTGGGTATCCGATCTTGGTTGCCGTAGGAGATCCAGCGTCCCTTGAGCAGTTCATTTCTGTTTTGTCATGAAGCTGGCCTCCCATGGGCTTTTCAGAGGACACACTTGACCCATGGTAAATAAGGGGACGTGAGAATATGGTGGGAGTTGGAGTAGATAGAAATGTATAAAGAGTCCTTGACATGAGAAAGAGCCAGGAGAATGTGCATGAAAGGGGGTTTTAAGACTGAAAGAGAAAACTCGATTGTGCTTCAATGGTGAGGCTATTTATTAGAAAATTCTGCAATTGTTTGAGCATCCCTAATCCAAAAATCTGAAATGAAAAATGTTCCAAAATCTGAAACTGTTAAAGCAGCAACCTGATGTCACAAGTAGAAAATTCCATGCATTTGTAGTAAAAATGCTACCATACTAAAATATTGTGTAAAATCACCTGTACGCTATTTGTATAAGGAACATATGAAACATAAATTACTTTGTATTTAGACTTGGTTTATATCCAAGATACTTCCTTATGTACATGTAAATATTCAAGAAATCTGGAAAATAAAAATCTGTGCTTTGAAATACTTTAGATCCCAAGTATTCTGATAAGGACTATCCACCTTGCATTTGGATTCTGGATTCACTGAATGAAAATTTTATTTCTGATTATTTCTGATATTATATGTACATCACAATGTCCTTCTGTCTCTATAATTTCCTTTTTTTTTTGGAGAGGTTTTTGCTATAGGGCGCATGTGCTCGTCAGAAAGACAGAGAAACAGAAAGAGAGAAATCACCCCCCAGGGGGCATGGCCACGCCTCAATCCCTTCTCCTCCTTTCTCCTCTCGGGATCTTGGGCACATACGCACACGTGCCTGCTGTAAATTTAAGACACCGGGTTCGGGGCTCAAACCGTGGTCGACTACATGGGAGTCCAGTGACATAGCCATTATGCTAACTGCTGGTCCCCCTATAATTTCTAAATTTCAACTTGACATATGGTTTTATAGTTTCTCAAATGTGGGAAAACGATGGAGATCTTGGTGAGACTTATTGTCCTTTAATTCAGAAATTACAGTTTTATACAATAGCATGTTTTCTCTCGAAGTACTTCTCCTGTAATGAATTTAAAAAAATGTCTAATTTTCTTAATTATCTCTAAAGTCCTGAAGGTTAAACGAGGGCTCTCAGATGCCGGTGAAATAACTGAAAGGAAGAGAACCCCTGGGTTGAGTGGAGCTCATCTCAGTGATTATCAAACACATGCTGATAAATCATTAGAGAGTTTCTAATGCAGCTCTGAGTTCACTTCTTTGATGATAAATATATGTGCTATGCATCTTGCTATAGCTGCTCCAGCTTTTGGATTAATTCCCACAAATCTTTTGGGCCAAAGGGACGTAAAACAGAAGCAAAATTTTAGTCCATCATCCATAATTAATTAGCTGTCTTTGGGGGGAAGTTCTTTCAACTTTCTGGGATTCTTTTTGTTCCTCTGCAAAGTTGGGATACAATAAACCCTTAAAGTGAGATTACAGTTGTAAAAGTCCAAATCGCCTTGGCAAGGATAATGTATTACACAGATACAGTATCTTTAGAATAATAATTGGATTACTTTCCATCTTAAAATAAGATTAATTCCACACTTTTAACGAGTTATCTGTACACATAGGCACACACATGCATGTATGAATCATTTATTTTGACTAATTTCATTTGATGCTTTTTAATATTAGATATACTAGTTGCTTGATTTTCCCCATGATTTTTTTAGACTTTACAGTTTAAAGGCATCAATTTTGTTCTGTTTTCCTGAATATGAATTGGATGCTTTTCTCCAGGGAAACTGACTAATGGTTTAGCTGTAGATATTGAAAGTAAACATTTTCAGCTTGAGGGATGAGGCTGGTTTAGTAACCTGAATATGGAATTCGAAATGATATTTTTGATGTGTTTATGTCTTTCCTGGTAACAATCTAATAAAAAATTTAATAGGGCATATTTAGTGATGGTGTGACTTATTTAAGAAGTCATAAAATGTACGATAAATCTGAATTTTAATTTTATGCTAATATATAATTTGTGTGTTAGTATAATGTTTTTA